AATGGAAATGCAAGGTCATGGTTGACTGCCCAAGAGTAGTTTCAGATTAGCAATTTAGGCCCCCTTTCTTTTTCTTGTGTTGTCTAACTCAATATACTTAAATTGCATCTTTATAGAAAAAGCTCTACAATGCAAATAATTTTGGAAAGCACAGCTTAAGGGGAACACAATCTTGTGGACATGAAGACGGACTTTTTCTATAACTTCAAAATGATCAGTTATCTATGCCAATCATAATATCAATTCCTTGAACAACATTATCTAGATCTAAAATTAATAGAATCAAACATTTATACCAAACAATGTTCATCATATATATATATATATATATATATACATAAAACATTGTTCATCTCTAGTTCTTTTAACACTATAAAGTATAGACAGTGTTTATGCAAGTGCTAATAATAACCGTGTTTTATTTCCTGCAATTTTGAAGAAGAAATGAAGAATTCGTATCCCTAAATTATTCTACCACTCTCCATCTTTGTCAAATATCAAATTCAACACTTTTCTCACTCCCAAACACTTTTGCAAAGATGTACATTACTAACAATAATAAGGACTGGCCTTATTATTACTGGAAATTGCAGAACCTATCCAAGAATAACCATACTACATGTGATCCAAGGAAGAATCATTAAAAATCCAGTTTCCCTTTTGGACATTAGTAATTGTTTCCTCTTTATTTGACATATAATTGGAAGTCCATGTTGCATTACTTCTCCTCTTCTGCCTCAAATACCAATTACCACAGATTTAATCAACTTAAACCCATTTAGCAATATCAAAAAAAAAAAAGGGCTTCTTTACCAAATATAGAAAGATAAAAGCAATTAATTCCTCATTCAACATTGAAAATTAGAGCTAACCTTAAGCCTATCCTTGCGTTGATTAAGCAACTTCGCAGCACCAAGTAGCATTGTAGTATGAACATCATGCCCACATGCATGCATTCTGCCATCGATTTTGCTCTTGTGCTCCCACTTAACAAGTTCCTACACAACATAGCCACACAAAGCATCAAGCAAACAAAGCAATATATTTCTGAATTGCCATGACACACAAGGTATTGGGATTACTTGCATGGGGAGAGCGTCGATGTCGGCCCGGAGAGCTACGACGGGGTGAGAACCAGAACCGATTTGGGCAACAACGCCAGTTTTTGCAAATGGGTATGTGTAAGGGATGCCAAGTTTGTCGAGTTCTCGGCGGATGAGAGCGCTGGTGTTGTGTTCTTGGAAACCTAGTTCTGGGTTCTCATGAATTTTCCTCCTTATTGAGACTAACCAATCTTTGTCTTGTTGGGCAGAGCTCAAGAGTTCGTCCCTGTAAACTTGGTCATATTTACCACGGATTGCAGGAGAGGAAGTGAGGAAGAGAAACAGAGTGAGCAGAAGATGAGGAATCCAATAAGTGGCAACCATTGACTTTCTTCTCCAAAAACATACAGAAGCTCCACAAATACGATCTCATAGTGAAATCCAATGGTGAGAACTGAACTCTTATCTCCTGCCGCAATCTGTTGACCATGAAAAATGGTAAATCACGTGCTCTACCTAAAAAGTGGCTCGCTCTGGGGAAGATTCTCCATGTGTATTCCGGTTAAATTTAACAAATCGTCTAGTAATTATGGCTTAATTTAATTTTTAGTTTATTAACTATCACCTTGATTTCATTTTAGTCTAGAAACTATGTTTCATTTCTAAGTGGTCTATTAACTTTAAGATTCATTTCAATTTTGTCTACTTGGTCAAAGATAACGGAAAACTTCCTATCCGTTATAGAACAGTTAGTCCTCTAACTATATTTTTTTCATCTTTTAGTCCTCAAATTTATATTTGTTATAGAAATAGCTTTTATATTTAAAATTATTATTTTTAGGTTCTGATACCATATTTTTATACTTAAAATTATTATTTTTAGGTGGTCTATTGACTTTCAAGTTTTAATACCAAATTAAAGAAATAGGAAAGCCCATATAAAAATTTGGTATCAGAG